GTTACTTTGAACTGATGGGGGAAGGGAGCCACTGGCCCTGGTGCTGGGTGAGGCAGGGTGGGGGCTGGCCTTGAAACTGCACCCCGTTCATCTGAGGCTTCCCGTTCATCTGTCATCACGTGGTCCCAGCAGTGGCTCCTCAGGAATGCAGAGAGACCACATCTGGCTGCCACCTCCCCCCTCTTGGCCACTGGCCTCCCACGTGTGCCTGTTAAGATGGCAGGTCCCAACACTCAGTGAGATGCTGTCATTTCCTTTCCCGGCATCCATTGTCCTGCTGTCCCTACCTCCCCTAGGGCTGTGGGAGAGGGAGGTCTGTCCTCCCTGCCTGCTTCCTGTCCAGGTTCACTCTCCCCAGGCCTGCCTGTCTCTCTCAGGAGAAGATCTGGAGTGGACACAGCTAGTGTTGTGCTGGGGATTTGGCTCCCTGATCTCTCAGGGAGGGAATCAAAGATGAGGAGGCTAGAAGGGGAGAGGCTTGGCTGGGGAAAAGGGTGGCTTGGGGGAATGAGCCGGTGGTAGGGAAATGAGTCCTGCTTGGATCTGCCCATCCGTTCTTCCATCCAGTCCAATCAGTGTTTTCAACTCAGTGCCTCACCAGCTTTAGGTCTGGGGAATACAGCCTGGAGTGGTAGTTCGAACAAAGTTAATGCACTGCTGGCCTAATTGGACCCTAGCGTTAGCCCTAGCTCCTCCTTTGCACCCATTTCCTTCCAAAACCAAGTATCACATCACTTGCTCCATCCTACCCCAGGGGCCCAGGGCATCTGAAAAGCCCCAGCGTGGATGTCAGCAGACCCTGGTGTGGGGCTGGCTTCTTTGGGCCAGAGCATGTGCTGTGGGACACAGTGGTCAGGCTGCCTGGGGGAGAGCAGATCCTGCCTCTAGCCACTGTTACTCCAAGAGGGAAAACACTGGCGGTAGACCAGGTTCAGGGAGGAGATGATATTTGAGACAAGCCTGGCAGAAGGGATAGAATTTCAGGAGACAGAGGTGGAGGAAGAGGAAGGGAAGTTACCTAGGCTCTCTGTGCTCTCACCTGCAAAATAGAGACCTCCTTCAGGGGACTTGAATTGATGTTTTATGAAGCACGACCTGGCACCTAACATGAACACGCCAGAAAATAATCAGCAAGTACCCCCTCTTCTCTCATCCACTCTTTGAGAGGAGAAGTTCCAACTGTCCAGCAGCAGGGTAGACAGCTGAGGGAAACTTAACAGAAGGTCATGCTCCAAGGTCATCTCTCCAAGGTGACCCTAGCCAGCCTTGGTCAGCTGCAATCACAGCAACCCTTTCCACCGTGGGCGTCTCAGGACTTGGACTGGACCCGACACAGGTTTGATTCCAGGCATTACTATTTCCTAGCAGTGTTGACTGAGGGCAAGATGTTTGCCACTTTGGCAAGTAGGGAGGGCAAAGGCTTAAAGGAGACATCCAAAGTTGGGCATGGGCAGCTCATGCCTATAATCCTAGCTCCTCAGAAGGCTGAGTGAGATCTGAGGATCCCAGTTTAGAATTGGCCTGGGCAGGAAAGTCCATGAGACTTTCATCTCTAATTAACCAGTAAAAAGCCAGAAGTGGGGGTGTTGTTCAAGTGATAGAACACCAGACTTCAGTGGAAAAAGCCAAGCAAGAGTGAGAAGCTCTGAGTTCAAGCTCCAGTACAAGTGCACGTGCATGCACGCGCACACGCACACACACACACACAAACACAGACATACACACACATATGCGCACACATATACAACATCCACCAAAACTCTGACCAACAGCATCCCCTCTGGTGGCATTGGTGACAGACTGCCTGTGCCTTCCTGTGCTCTGTCCTTTTTGAACTGGCTCCCCTCCCTGCAGAACCCTGTCTTTTAGGGAAGAGGTGGTGTCTGGTGTGTGAAATGTCAAAGCCAACAATTCGTTTGACTAGTTTCAGTGAGACTGAAATGAGTTGCAGCGAAAGCAGGGTGTCTGCGGCAACCTAACAGATACATCGTGCATCTGGCCCTTCACCCCAGGCAGCCTGGCAGCTGAAGGACAGAGATTTTCTGCACTGTCAACACTGGAGTTGGCCAAGCCAGGTTTCCTGATGCATTGGGCGGGCCGTGTGTCAGGGTGGTAGGCTCAGTCTGCAGCCAGCTGCTGTCCCCTGTGGGGTCTGACTTCCACCTCCAGGAGGCAGCCAGCCAGCTGCCCACCCAGCCTGGTTTGGGAAAGAAATCATTTGTGCAAACTCATCCTCAGTGTGCAGCATGGGGAAATTGTGTGTGTGTGTGTGTGTTCACCATGCAGGAGGAGAGGAGGAGGAGGAAGAGGAAAAAGAGGAGGAGGAGGAGGAGGAGGAAAAGGAGGAGGAGGAAGTAATGAATTGTGTGGCTCCCCCCCGCCCCCCAGAGCCTGGCCATTGAAAATGCTGTCAGCTGGGGTTGAAGGTGTGGCTCAATTAGTAGAGTGCCAGCCCAGGAGCAAATCCTCTGCTACTGAGTTCAAGTCCCTGCCTCGCAACAACAACAAAAAATGTCCCCTCGCCCCCCACCCTACACCCCGACCCTGCAGCTGTCTGCCTCCTGTGGATCTGCTGAATTGGAAAAGATGGCCAGGTAGTTCCCAGGCAGGTTAGTTTTACCCTCACTACTTTAGGGCTGAGCTAGATTTGAGTTCCAGCTCCCTGCCTACTAGCTGAGTTAGACAAGTTGCTTTACCTCAGTGGACCCTAGCTCTCTCATCTGTACAATGAATTTGGAATTTTAAAAAATCATTACCTGAGAGTGTTAATAATTCACACTAGCATATGAATAATAATTCATAAGTAGATGATCTGGGGATAAGGACTAGCTCCCATGCGGAGCCCAGATCTGCCCACAAATGGTGGCTGTTACTGAGTAGAGGTCCTGATACCAGCTTACTGGTCCTGAATTGATTGGGGGCCTCATTCTCCCCAGCTGTGCATGGGTCTGTGGACGACCCCCCTCCCCACTTGCACTGGATGGTTGCTCAAAAGAGGGTGCAGCATTCCAGGAGCCAATGGGAAAGAAACTGTCTGTGTCATCCTTCTTCCCTCTGTGCCCTGCTCAGCTGCTCCTGCTGTTGCTGAGACCCAGGAGTGAGGCCAGGCTGCAGGCATCTCTACTTTTAGACGCTCCCTTGCCTTTCAGATGCTCCCTTGTACCATGCTTAGAGTCTTTGGAGCCAAGTCATCTCCTTCCTTCCCCCTCCCCAGAGGAACTTGCTGTCTCTAGGAGGTAATTCAGCCTAAGGCCTACCCTCCTTTGGGTGGCCCCGGGTGCTCCCTCCCTACTGCCAAGAGGGATGAAGATGGCCTGGTAGCTTCTCCCTACTTGGCATTCCTGTCCCCCGCATTGAGGCTGAATGCTTAGCTCTGCCCCTGATACACTGAGCAATTTTGGGCAGATGATGTGTGCACTCTGGGCCACAGTTTCCTTCTCTGTACAAACTGGTCCCATGGGCCCTGAGATTCCCTGCCCCCCCCTGTTCCCACTCTCCTAGTGTTGTCAGAGGCCTCAGCCTCAGCCCCTGCCCCTCATGTCCATACCCTGGATCCACAGTTGATTTGGGCCAGGCTGGTAAAGACTGAAGTGAGCTGGCCTGTGTGCCTGTCCTCCAGGAGCTCGGCTAGGGCCTACTGGTCTTGTGTGGGAGAGGGGAGGAATTTTCCTCTCTGTGTGCAAACAGTATCCGTTTTCTCTTGTTTCCAAAAGCTGGTGACGTAACCCACTCTTCCTCCATTCCTCCCCTCTGGCCTATTTTTAGCTGGCCGGCAGCATCCTCCAGAGCTTCAGCCATGTAGGGACAGCAGCATGGACTGAGGGAAGACAGAAGCTCTGTTGTCTGTCCTGGGATGGGGGAGGGAGGAGATGCTGCTGGGAGAGACTTAGGACCTTCATTCAGGCTTGGAGGTTCCTGGCCTGGGGGTTGGGGGTGTCTCTAAGCACTCAGGCAGAAGCCTCCTCTGGGGCAGGGGGAGGGGGTATCCTCCCCTTCCCATGAGTGTGTGGCTCTGAGCCCTGCTTTCTTTACCTGGATCATAGGATAATGGGAGCACTTTTGCTATAGAACTAACTGTAGGAGGGCTGAGTTTACCTCTGGTAGAACAGATGTCTCAATGCTGGGAGTCAGGGTTTTATCATCATGGCAGTCAGCCAGCCAGTCTTAGGGAGCTGTTTCTTCATGCACTGCAGATAATGCTGGGGGTGCATCATCCTGGTGCACCCCTGTGACCTTTCCTGTTCCTCTTCAATACATGAATAAAACGATACCCAGAATGTTCTAGGAACAGGATCTGGCATATCATAAAAGCCAATGAAGTGAGAGCTGTATTTGTTTTGTTTTAGTGTAATTAAACTGATCAAGGTTTGAATTTGGGCTTCACTTACTGACTAGCCATGGGTCTTCGGGGCCAGACATTTGACATCTCTGAGCTCAATTGCTATGTAGGATTCTTTTTTATGTTTACTTGGAGATAAAAGTCTTATGGAGGGAGCTGGGAAAGCGGCTCAGTGGTAGAGCGCTTGCCTTGCATGCATGAGGCCCTGGGTTCGATTCCTCAGCACTACATAAGCAGAAAAAGCTAGAGGTAGCGCTGTGGCTCAAGTGTTAGAGTGCTAGCCTTGTGCTGAAGAGCTGAGGGTCAGTGCCCAGGCCCAGAGTTCAGGCCCTACAACTGACCATAAAAAACAAACAAACAAACAAACAAAAAAGGTTTATGGACTTGTCTGTCTGAGATGGCTTCTAACAGAGATCCTTAGATACCAGCTTCCTCAGTAGCTAGGATTGCAGGTGTGAGCCAATTTACCCAGCAACCACCTGGTTATGGTTGGCACCATTCAATGCCTTCCTTTCCCACCATCTCTTGTCTGGGAGCTCCTGCAGGGCATGCAGGATGGATTTTCTCATGCTCAGTCCCTCCCCAACCTGGGTGGACACTGAGCCCTGGACTGGCACCACGAGGCCACTCTCTGACCACTTGTCCTTCTTGGCTTTTACAGGTGGGAGGAGGAGCTTGCCAAGCGCATGAACCTTCAGACCATGGTGGACACACTGCAGGAGGTAAGATCGCCCTCAGGGGTCCTGAGAGGTCCAGGAGAGACATGTGGGATGGCCATGTGACCAAAGCCTCTGCCGCCCTGGCCTCTCCTCTGTGAGCCTACAGATCCTTTCCATCTCTTCTACTTAATGGCTAGGGATAGCCCAGCGCAGTGGAGCAGAAAAGTTTGGGCATAAGAGTGGGGAAACCTGGGTCTTGCTGATGACCCAGGGCCCATGACTCTCCTCTTCAGCCTCTCTCCCCATCCGAGGCTTGGGCTAGGTTTCTAAGCCCTTGTGCCCTCAGCTTGTAGGTCTCCTAAGTTGTGACTGATACTTGGAGATAGCTGGTGGGCGTGTCACCTTGTGGGCTGCTTCCCAAGCAGGCTCCATGGTGAACTCTGAGGCTTTGTTGTCTCCTTGTTGCTATGGTGGTGGCTTTGTATTTGGGGCTGTGCTGCTCACCTGCCTGTGTTGGGCACTGAACAAACCTCACTTTGTGAATTCTCTTTTCTTCTCTGTCAATGGGAGCTATGGAGTAGCAACCCTATGAAGAAGCATGAAAAAGTCCATTCAAAAAAATTTTAAGCTGGGCACTGGTAGCTCATGCTTGTAATCCTAGCTACTCAGGAAGCTGAGAGCTTGAGGATTGCAGTGTTAAGCCAGTTGGGACAGGAAGGTCTGTGAGACTCTTATTTCCAATTAACCAGCAAAATGTTAGAAGTAGAATTGTGGCTTATGTGGTAGAGTGCCACTGCACCAAAGGAAGGGCATTAGATAAGAGTGGAACTCAGTGGAAGAACATTTGCTTAGCTTGTACAGAGCCCTGGGTTCAATCCCCAGTACAACCAAACCAAATTTAAAAAGTCAATATGAAAATTTACTTTCTGATATTTGAAACACTTAGCTTTAAGGAGAGAACAATAATTAGCAATGTGTAGGAGGAAAAGGATGAGAAAAAGAATTTTTTTTTTTTGCCAGACCTGGGGCTTGAACTGAAGGCCTGGGCACTGTCCCTGAGCTTCTTTTGCTCAAGGCTAGCACTCTACACTTGAGCCACAGTGCCACTTTTGACTTTTTCTGTGTATGTGGTACTGAGGAATCGAACCTAAGGCTTTGTACATGCTTGGCAAGCACTCTACCACTAAGCCACATTCCCAGCTCAAGAATAATTTTTTTTCTTTCATAACCTAGCATGTTCATGACCAGGTATTTGGAAAATTCAGATATGCAAAAGCAAAACAAAAAAATGAAAAAAACCTAAAACAAAACAGAATAAAAATTGCCTGCAGTTCTACTCTGTACAGCTTATCAGTTGGTGTGTGGCCTTCTCATATTTTCCATGCAAACATCTACACATGCCTCTGTTGCTCACCTTTGATTACACAGATGACGTGGCTGGTTCTGAGACCAGAGGTAGTTAAATAGGAATGTTACTTGGATCAACCTGGGTTTCTGAAGTGCTGGGAAGGTAGATTTTCCCCTGCTATTAATGATCCTTGGAAAAGTGTTAGGGAAAGTCAGAGGGCTTAGCAGGAATCCAGGCTGACACACAGGTCCTGCCACCCTTTCCAAAGCCCCAAACCCAGGTGTCCAGCCCCTTCCTGCCCACAGGATTCCTCTATAGCTTGCCCATCTCCACCCGCAGGCAGCACAGGAAGCCGAGGCCATCCAGGAGGAGATGAATGAGAAGATCGAGCGGCTCAAGGCTGAGCTAGTGGTGTTCAAGGGGCTCATGAGTGACGTAAGTGCCACGGGCTGCCACCCTAGGCATCACAACTCCCCCCACCCCCTCATCATGCAAAATGCTTCATTCACTCCGAGGCTCCAAGCTCAGCTTCTAGTTAGAGTCCTGGCTGCCTGGTTTGTCCTGAGGATGAGGGACGCAGCAGAAGCCAGACGGCCTCCCTACCCTGTCCTCCCCACGTTGCTTCCCTCGGTCTGAGTAGAGATGCATTAATCTGCTGCTTAACCCATCCGCCCTCCCCAGGCTCCTCTGACGGTCTGTGTGTATTGCTCGGCTCCTTCCCAGCTCACCATGCGGCCTTGGGTCTGGCACTGGGGTGACAGTGGTCTGGGCTGTGCCAGCCGGAGAGGTTCCTGGGCCCAGAGCCTCCAGCAGAGTTGCTTTGTCAAGTTGGGAGTGGCCCATGTGCATCCTTTGGGCCATCTGGAGCCCATCTGAGTGACTGGCCCTGGGTGGGAGCAGCTGTTACCTGCAGAGGCCTCCTTTAGGCACTGGACAGGGTGCACACAGAGCCGGCCAGAAAGGACAAGGAGCCTGAACTGGGTGGCAGCCTGGCTTGGCTCCTGGCACTCCAGGGCTGGTGGCTGGGTGTATCTGGGAGATGCTGTAAGGCCCCAGGGGGAGCCACTTGACTTCCTCCCACTTGGGTTCAGGAGGACCCCACCCCATCCCATTCCAGGTGCCCTCTCGCTGCCAGCTGTGGAGAAGGCTGGAAGAGAGTGAGGGGCGGGGCCAGCCTGCCATGTGGGGACAGGCAGGCATGCGGTGGGAAATGAAGGGCCGGCTTTCAACAGTGGGAAGGTCTTTTCTTTTGGTTTTTGTTCCAACAAGACTGAAGGCATGTCCAGCTGAGAGGGTGCTCTGCAGCTCTGCGGAGTCAGCACACGCGGTTTCACCTCATCACTCCAAGGCCTCCATTGCCCCTTCCCACCCTGAGCAGTGCTAATCATCCCTCCACTCCCAGGAGATGATCAACAGCCCCCTCCCAACCCAGTCTCCAGGAACCCCTCACACCTAGGGGTCTCCCCACCTCGCAGCCAGGCCCTTCCTGCTTGCTCCACCCCTCGCTCACGTAACCCCTGCTGTCCTCCCTGCAGCCCATGACAGACCTGGACACAAAGATCCAAGAAAAGGCCATGAAGGTGGACATGGACATCTGCCGCCGAATCGATATTACGGCCAAGCTGTGCGATGTCGCACAGCAGCGGAACTCGGAAGACGTGTCCAAGATCTTCCAGGTGACTGGGGCCACCCCGCTCACCAGCCAAAACCTGACCCTCCCTGTGCAGCCCCGGCCCCCACCACTGCCAGCCAATCCCCTCATCATCCACGCCCCATTCACTCCCCATCCTGAGAGGCAGCGTCGGCCTCCCCAAACCCAAGGACTTGGAGGCCCCTCTGGCTCCACCAGATGTGACTGCTCTGTGTCACATGGACACAAAGGAGCCCGAGTCCCCAGGGGTGATGGACTGTGTACAAGGAAGGACATGGCAGAGCTGAGCCAGGCCTCAGGTCTCGTGACCCTCCAGGACTCATGCTCCCGCCCACACTGTGCCCACTGCCTCCCTGCTGCCTGCTAAACCTCTGGGTGCCAGGATGGGACATTGTCCCCGCGCTAGTAGGGGATCCTTGGCCAGGCTAGTGGACAACTGGAGGACCTGGCTTGAGCTCTGGCAGCTGGGCCTCTGAATTTGGAAGAGGAGTTACTGGCCTTTGATTATTTCCCACTTCTCCAGAGAGTCTCTTGACACCCCCAGACCTATACTGTGCAGGGGTGGGTGCCCCTGAGAGAAAACAGTCACCAGTGGATTGTGCTCTGGAGAGGCCCAACCGACTGAGGGTACCTTTCTTTCTCCGAAGGCTGTGTTCTGAGTTTTGGATTGTGGTTTGGCTTCTGCTTGAGCCCAGGGCAGTAGGGTGTGTCGTCGCTCTTTGTGTGTGATTTTGGATGAGAGTGAGGCGACCTACGCCTTCCTGGGGCGCTCTCTACCCGCACCCCTCCTCGCCGCCCCTTTGCTGGGGAGATCCATGTGGCACTCATTTGCTCGTGTCTTGTCTGCTCGGGGTGGAAGCCTGGTGAGCCTCAGGCCCCCCATCCATGCCTCTGCATGGGAGAGGATGAGGCTCTGGGTGGCATGGATCTGTGGGTCAAGGCTTCATCTCTCTGGCTGGCTCTGAGGTAGCCCAGGTGACTAGGGCCTGGTCTGGCTTCCCTCACTCCAAATCCTGGGACTGCTTTTCTGGTGAAGGGGTGAGCTGAACCAGCCCAACCACCAGGCCTTTCCAGGGCAGGGCTTGGTCTGGGCATCTCTTCTCCACCCTGCATGTCACTCACTTCATGCTTTCTGCCAACGCTGCCTGCTTCTTAGAGGACCCGCACACCTGTCTCGCTGCAATGACTGGCCCTAGCCATGACCTACTTCCCCCCACATCCTCCCAGGGATGCCAGTTCCCTTGCTGGCTCACCCCTCCCCTCCATCCCAGCCAAAACTCCATAGTTACCTTGATCTCTTCCCTTCCGGTCCAGGTGGTCCCCAAAAAGAAAGAACGCAAAGTGGCTTCGGACGATGACATCTCTGAGCAGGACGGGGAGGTGAACCGGTTCTCTGATGATGAGGTCGGCTCCATGAACATCACAGATGAGATGAAACGCATGTTTAACCAGCTGTGAGTAGCCCAGATGATTAAGGCTCGGGGGGAAGGAGGTACCCTAAAGGCCTGGGCTGAGTATCCCACAGATATATTTGGTTTGGTCAGCATAGTATTCTGGAAGGATTGGGATTTGTTTTCAGTAGTGATCATTTGGGAAGCTTCATGTTTTCGGTCTCTCTAGGTAGCTTGAGAGCAGGCACTGTTGACAGGAAACTTGAGGCCCAGGGCACTGTTGACATGAATTGTACACTTCCATTGGCCATGATCATTTATACCAGCTGCGAGCTTTCTCTTAACTTTTCTTTAGAAACTTCCCCACCAAAGAGGAGTGGGAGGGAATCACCCCCTACTTGAGGGAGTCTTTCCTGCCCACATGATTAAAGGGCTGGACATTGCCCTTTCTGGTCATGTATAGCAGAGCCTGGACCTGATTACTTCATGAATCTAGAAAGGTCCAGTGCACTGTGATGGTCACTTGGTGGGCTGGCTTGCTTCCTCCAATCTCTGTTAATGGGCTGGCTGAGTTCACATGTACCCACAGGAAGTCCCACCCCACTCCCATGCATGGAGCATACTACAGGCCTGCAATTGGCTGGCTTGACTTCCCTTTTATAGACAAGGAAACTGAGGCTCTGAGGAAGTCAGCAACTTGGCTGAGATACGTGGCCAGTATCTTAGAGGAAAGCAGACCAGGGCTGCTTTCACCATGCACCCTCTCACCAGGAGCTGCTGCCCAGAATCTGGGCTGGTATGGTCAGAGGTGGCTGGTTCTAGCTGGTACCAGCTTGCAGAAGCTGGCTGCCTGTGTGCAGGTTCCGTGAGGTCCCGTTAGTAGCTGAAAATTCAGCATTGCAGGAAACTGGCAGTTGTTGCCCATCAGGGCTCCCCTGCCCTATCCAACAGAGAGTTGGGGTATGGGAACCTCACTGGGAGTACTTGGCCTTAGGGCACAGTAGCATTGTGGTCTTGGCCTATTCAGTGTGATATTCTGGACTCTAATCCCTATAGTGCCTTAAAGTGGGATCAGGGGAGAGACCGTTACAGCTCTGGGCAGTGGTGGGACTTAGTCCCTGGGTTCTTCCTTTCTTCCCAGCCCAGTGGCACGCATGGGCTGTCTTTTGGAGCCTTTGCCGTTGAGCACCTAGATCTGGAAATTCTGCTTTAACCTGGAACTCTCCAGCCCTAAGGCTAGCTTCACATCAGCCTCTTCAGGCTACTAATGAGAGAACTGCTCAGAGAGGACCACAAAGAATTAGAACAGAGCCAGGCCCTCCAAGTTCTTTGTCCTCCCACACCAGCTGTCTTACTGCTTGGAAGAAGTATACTTCTTCTGTCTCTGCTTCATCATGGTTGCTGTCTTGGGTGCTTTTCTGCTAAGCCAGAATGGTGCATAGAAAAGACAGGGACAGGGTGGGATGGGAGTTTACTGACCTGATATTTCCCTCCCCAGCCTATATTCCTTTAAGCAGACCTGTGACGGTGTGGCATTCTGGACACTTGTTTGAGAGTGGCAAGGACATCCCTAGACTCTCGATTAATCTTTTAACATGAGTCCTCTTCCCTTCCTGTGCCCAACCCCATTATCTTCCCCTGACAAGTGGGGCTTTTAAAAAAGAGCCATGATTGGGGTCTATTGTTCTGAATGTTACTCTGGGCATTCCTGATCCTGACCAGGTGGGATGTACAAGAGATCCCCAGGTCAGTTTCATTAGGTTGAATTAAAAGGTTTCTCCAAATGGGTTTGGTGGTATACACCTGTAATCCCAGCACTCAGAAGTCAGAAACAGGAGGATCATGAGTTTGAGGTCAGTCTAGACTATGTAGTGAGACTGGTATACCAATTACCCGCAACCCCCCCCCCCAAAAAAAAGAGCATCTCTGAAGATCCTTTTCCTCATCTTCATGGAGTCTATCTAGAATTTGTAAGTTCACCAGGAATGGGGTGAACTGCAGAGAAACCCTCTGAAATCTGCCAGGAGTTTCCCTGGGCCAATACGTCTTCCTGTAGGAAGCAGCTTTGTAGAAGTGTATACCTGGATGTTGACAGGTCTGAGTCAGGTTCAGTCTCCAGTTAGAGTTATCTGCTTATCAAGTTGCCTAAATTAAAAAAAAAAAAATCCTCTGATCACTTTGATCATGGCCTCCCTCGCCCCCACCCCCATCAGTCCTGCAGCCGAGAACAAGGTGGCCATGAACCACCCTTTGCAGGCTTTGGCTTTCCTCCCGATGTCTCCACTGGTGTTGGGCCCAGACCCAAGCCAGAAGCTGAGTTGGGTTGGGTTGCCTCCCCCCTCCCCTCCCACGCCCCCTCCCCACACCAGTTCTACTTAAGTCTTTGAATGACACACCCATGTCAAAGCCTTTTTTTTTTTTCCTGAGCCAAATCAGTTGTTGGGCCTCAAACTGAGGAGGAATTTACTGCTGGCCTGTACCAAGGACAGCCGTGGGCCTGGGGGTGGGAGTGAGGGCCTCTTTGGTCATGGATCACTGCTTTGTCCCTTTCTTGTCCTTTCTGTCTCTGTTCCTTGGCAAGGCTTTCCTTCAGATCCCAGACAGTGGAAAGGAAATGAAGTCAGGAGTGGAGTATGTGTTGCTGATGGATGGACCCAAGGGGCTACCGCAATGCCTCTTTCCCAGTGCACCCCCTTCCCAGCCCCCAGCTCTGGTCTCTAACTCACAGAGCCACCTACAGGCTCCTGAAGGAACTGCTCCTGAAGGAACTGCTTGAGGTTAGGCCAGGAACCAGCCAGGCCTGACTCCAGGGGGCGCACTAGGAAGCTTTTAAATCAGAAAGTCTCCTGGATCCTGGACCAGAGGTTCCCATCCATCGTCCCATTATGGTGTGGTTGAGATAATCCTGTGTTTAGTGGTCCAGGAATGAGTGGAGTGGGAGTTCAGGCAGTGGGGAGATTCTTGGGGTGGAAGTCTGGAGGCTGGATCCCACATTCCTGGGCCACCAGCGTGTGTAACAACTCAGTCTTCCCCAGTTTGAATAGTGGGTATGTTGGTTCCTCCAAGATAGCCGGTATATTCTGAGAACCTTTTATCTGGGGAAAATTGGAGATTGGTCACTAAATTCTCAATTCTAGCCAATTAGGAATCCCTAAAATTACTCTGATTTTGAATTCAAAGCTAGTTTTCTATCATGTATCAGTCTAGCAGCCAATTACTCGCCTTGAGCCTGCCTGTCTCCTCACTTGTAAAATGGGAACAATAATTCTGTTACCTTACAGGCTTGTTTTGAGGTTAGAATTCGTTTCATTTTAATATATGCTGAGGGATGAGACCAAGCCCAGAACATAAATGGGTGCTTGGTGAGGTGTTTTTTGTTTTGTAGTGTGGGGGTTTGAACTCAGGGTTCTATGATCACCAGGCAGGTACGGTATCACCTGAGTTACACTTCTCACCCTTTTTGCATTCCTTATTTTGTTGTTAGAGTTTTGAGTTCGGGGCCAGGACTGGCCTGTGATGTGACCTGCCTATCTGTGGCTCCTACATGGCTGGGATCCCAGGTGCACACTACCACATCTGCGTTGTTGGTTGTGATGGAGATCTCACTTTTTGCCCAGGCTGGCCTCAAACTAGGATCCTCCTGCTCTCAGTTTCCTGGTTAGCCGGGATTATAGCATGCACCACCATGCCTGGCCTCTTGGTGATGATTTGATGAGGAGGAAAAGGCTGGAGGAAACAGGTGATCTGTCTTTCAGCCCCAGTTTCTGCTACACATTTATTGTGTGGCCTTGGACAAGTGACTTACTCTTTCTGAGCTGTGGTTTTTCTCATCTGTGTAAAGTGAATTAGTAAAGCTGACTTCTCCAAGCTGCAGGGGATAGAAGCCACTGCGCTCAGAGTGGGAACACAAAGGATATGAGTAAAAACCCACTACACTGGCCTTGAGAGAAACTACCTTTAGTTTCCATTAAGAAAATAAAGCCTATCATCTTAAAAAATGTATATATATATATTTGCAGTGCTGGGGATGGAGCCCAGGACCTTGTATATGCTAAGCTAGTGCTCTACCACTAGAGCTTCAACTCTAGCTCAAAGAGTGTGTACTTAATTTATTATTTTTTCCTGTACTGTGGATTGATCTCAGAGCTTGATGCTTGCTCTTCCATGTCCTCCTACCACTTGAGCCATGCCTCTATGCCTCTTAACATTTTTTTCTGGTTAATTAGAGATTGAGTCTTGTGGACTTTGCTGCTCATGTTGGCTTTGAACAGTGATTCTCCATCTGAGCCTCCTGAGTAGCTAGGATGACAGAATAAGCTATGGTCCCCAGCTAAAAGTATATACTTTTAATTAACAAATAAAACAAATACATTCTGCATTTTAGGAGAGTTAGGTTTTTTGTGGATAAGACACATAGCCCTTTCCTAAGGGCATTTGTACAGGTGTATGTCAGTAAGAGAAGCTGTCCCATGCTGTTCTCTGGATGGCCCTGGAAATGGCTTCTGTTTAGTCATGTCCTCTCGTGTCACCCCATAGGCGGGAAACCTTTGATTTTGATGATGACTGCGACAGCCTGACGTGGGAAGAGAATGAAGACACACTTCTGCTCTGGGAAGACTTCACCAACTGTAACCCGACCATTGACCTGCAGGGCGAGGTGAGACCAGGCCCTGGGCTTCCCAGGGCCAGGAGTGGGGGGTGTCCAGGGCACCTCCTTCCCATGATCCCTTATCCCTGCTCTTCCCAACCAAACTGTCCCCTTTCTTGTGTCTCCCCAGCAAGAGGAAAACCTGGGCAACCTGATCCACGAGACTGAGTCCTTCTTCAAGACGAGAGACAAGGAGTATCAGGAAACCATAGGGCAGATTGAGGTGAGGGCTCATGCTGGGAGCCTGCCCCAGGCCCACCTGGGTGAGACCCTGGTGATCCGATGCTTTGTGAGCCTGGCTGGCACAGGTCAGGAGTTGGGAGCCTGCAGAGTCTCCGCTTGGCATTGAGGCCAAGTCTTGTCAAGGCCTTAGTTTTCTTTTCTTTTTAGTTTTCTAATTTGTAAAATGAGGTAGTGATCTCTGCCTGCCTCAGAGTTTTTTTTTTTTTTAAAGGAAATTACTCACTTGAGCAGAGCTTGCTAGCATCTGACTGTAATTCAGGTGCTCTGGATGCTGAAGCAGGAAGAGAGTGAGTTCAAGACCAACATGCCTCTATCTCAAAAAGTAAACTAAGAAAGAAAGCTAATTACTTAAGATTATGACTCCAGAATAAGCAGGATGACTTTTTTTTTCTCATTCTGGGGTTTGAACTGTGGGTCTGGGCACTGTCCCTCAGCAGCTTTTCCTCAAGGCTAGCATTTTACCCCTTGAGCTACAGCTCCATTTCTGGCTTTTTCTGTGATTAATTAGAGATAAGAATCTCATGGACTTCACATTGCAGCCTCCTGAGTAGCTACGATTACAGGTGTGAACCACTGGTGCCTGACACAGGACTGACGTTTGAGTGACATCAGTGATGGTAGCACTGTGAGCCTGTTGCAAGCTCCTTCCCAAGTGCTCCCCAACACTGTGGGAACTGTGCTCCCAACCCAGGAGGAGATGAGGTCAAGGCTCACAGCCCCGAGGCAGCATTCAAGCAAGTTGTTTCTGGCTCTTGGCCAGACTAAATCCTGGTCTATAAATGAGTATGCTGGAGAAAGAAAAGCTTGATGCCTTCCTGGAGGAAGAAACATTTGGAAGTGGAGGAAAAAAGAGATGAGGTGTTTTCTACTCAAAACAATATAATGGAGCCTGCAAATGCTAAGCTCAAAACTGAGTGAGCCTTAGTATGGCAGGCTGCATCTGGGGTTGCTAAGCAACTATTCCCTTTTGACGCAGAAACACTTCTAGGGGCTAAGGACCAATGCACATACAGCAAGCAGGGGGTCAGGGATGGTATATCTCTGAGGCAAGTCCAGAGAGCACGGTGTCCAAGTGGTGAGGCAGTGAGGAGGGAGGTTCTGCCTTGACATGACTTGTCTTTCCTCTTCTTCTCCCTTGGTTCCTCCCAGCTGGAGCTGGCCACAGCCAAGAGTGACATGAACCGGCACCTGCACGAGTACATGGAGATGTGCAGCATGAAGAGAGGCCTAGATGTGCAGATGGAGACCTGCCGCCGGCTTATCAAAGGCTCTGCGGACAGGTTGGGCTTGTCCTTCTGAGAATTCAGTAGTCCTTAGAGGAAGTTCTGGGCATGCTTTTGTCTTCCTAGTCTTTCTGTCCATCTGTCCATCCACCCATTCATCCACTCACCCATTTCTCCATCCAGCCATCCAGCCATCATCCATCTGTCCACCCATCATCCATATGTCCTTTTACCTACTCCATTCATCCAACTATTCATTTTCCATCCTTCCACCCACCCACCCACCCACCCATCTATACCCCATTTGTTTATCCACTCAGCCAGCATCCATCGACCTATCTTCCATCTATCGTCTATCCACCTATCCACTATCCATCCACTGTCTATCCACTCACCCATCCACCCACACATCTCTCCATCTATCCATCCACCCATCATCCAGCCATGCATCATTTGTTCACTCATCTCTCCATTCATCTTCCATCCATCATTCACCCATCAATCATCCATGTGTCTATCCATCTATCCATCCATCTACTCCATATTATCACTTATTATCTGCTAGGTAACTTACATATCGAATTCATGAGTCTCCCACCACAGCCCTGTCCTCATCACTTGAACAGATACTACTGTGTGTAGGGCCGTGAAGATAAGATGATGGAAACTCAGAGCTTCTGCCCCATTGTCTGCTGAGTTGGGGGTGGAGGAGCTGGTTAGAACACTAACTGCTGTCAGTTAGGCTCCTATGTGTCTCAAGGAAGTGGCTTTCCTTTCTTCTTTCTTATCACCTAACTCTTGGCCAGATGGATCTGCTCCCAGGAGACTGGTGTCCATCCAGCGTGACACACACAGACAGAGCCCCTTCATTAGGACACAAAGACAGAGTCCCTTCATTAGGACATACAGTCCTATTGGAGGACAGACACTGATGATGGAAAACTCTTGGCACAAAGCTCAGACATGTGTTGACTGTCATTCTTTTTCTTACTTTTTTCTTATTTTTTTTGGGGGGGGTCTGGTTGTGGGGCCTGAACTCTGGGCCTGGGCGCTGTCCCTCAGCTCTTCAGCTGAAGGCTAGCGCTCTACCACTTGAGCCACGACTCCACTTCTGGATTTTTCTGCTTATGTGGTGCTGAGGAATGGAACCCAGGGCCTCATGCATGCAAGGCAGTGCTCTACCACTTAGCCACCTTCCCAGCCTTCTTGTTATGAATGGCTTCTGTGTAAGAGGAGCACAGCATTGTGGGAGAGGGTGTGGAGGCTGCGGTTCAGCCTGGCGTACCTTTAGCTCATGGACTCCCTCAGAACCCTCTGTCGTTATAAGCAGGTAGAATAGCTTGCCCAGGGCACGCAGGCATTTGTGACAGAGCTGGAATTGCAAGCTTCTCTCTAGCCTTCCTGTGGGCTCTGAGTTATTGGGGGGGGGGGTATTGACTGAGCATCTACTGGTGCCTGGACCTGGGGTGGATGGTTGCACCTTTATTATCCATGATTCCTGTTCCCAAGGAATTTCCCATCTAGAGAAGCCAAACAGCCAGAGCAAGCAGAGGCTTAGGCGGGGCTCCCTGGAGGTCTCCAGAGCCACATTCAACTCATGAACTTCAAGTGTCCTGAGGAAAGCAGAGTCTAAGGATAGGACCTTGAGGGGTAAATTTTAGAGGAGTGGTTGTTTCCTGCTCCTGTATCCTCCAGGAGCTCCCCCTCCCACAAGCTGCTTTCTCAGTACTTTCTTTCCTTTCCAGGAATTCACCGTCGCCTAGCTCTGTGGCCAGCAGTGACTCAGGAAGTACAGATGAGATCCAAGATGAGCTGGAGCGGGAGGCAGATGTGGAGCCCATGGTCAGCTGATGATGGAGGTCCCACACACCTGGTGACGGGGCCATGCGGGCTCCAGCCTTCACCACACAGACTGTCCACTGTCCTCCCTCCTCAGGAGGCCTCAAGGGACCGCTGCTTCCTTCCTTCTTCACCTTTCACCACCCACCTCCCATCAGTGCCCCTTCTCCGTCCACTCACCCACCCACGGAATGGTGCTGTCAATTTATATTGTTCTCCACATTACAAATGCAGACTTCTGTGCGACGATGCCTGTCACTGTGCCTTCTCCCTTAAGCTGAGCCACTTTGAGCTCCAAAGAATTATTCCTAGCAGGTGTTTTTATACAAAATTCTAAGTGAGGGTGGGGCCTGGGGGCATGGCATCATATGGTTTTCTACCCTCCCACCTGCTCCTCTGATTGGCCATGAGCTTTGCCCTCCCTTTCTCTGACTGGCTCTGTGCTGGAGATGCTCTGCCTTCCTTAGGAAGGAACTGTTTGCTTGCAGACCTGGGTGGGGGCATCTCCCATGTTTTTTCACTCACTGAAGAGAGGAAGGTGGTAGGAGGGGAGGGAAGACCAATTTTTCTTTTCTTTTTTGGATCTAGTGGCGAAGTAGAGGGACAAGGCACCGTGAGGGGAAGGTGGAGCCTCACTGTGTTTAAACTACTATGCAAAAAAAAAAAAAAACCCACAAAAACAAAAACAACCCCCCCCACACACACAAAACTAAACTAAAAGCAGTTTGCCTTATACCATTGTGGAAGGAAGCCTCTCTCCTGGACCTCTGGTGTCCCCTGGAGCTGGGAGGGAGGCTGATGTTGGGGCGTCTCTCTCACAGCCTTAAGGGTGAGAAGTAGCGGGGGTGGGTGGTCGGCCCAGCTCACCTGACTGCTTGCTTTCTTTGGGACCTCTGTGGGGGTGGGTTTGGGCTGAGGGAGTCTTTTATTGTCCTGATGACTTGATGTTCTCCTTTCCCTCTCCAGCCAACCATGGGGGGTTTATAGAACCGTAATTTCTCTGTGAGAAAGTCTGAAGGGGCCAGGTCTGGGACCCACTTTGTCCATTGGTCAGTTCTGGCCCACCACCATCTTGTTTTTCCGCTATCCCCAAGTTGCCTGCTGCTTGGCCACTGGCAGAGAGGGGGACATCTGAAAGGGAAAGGGGAGGGGGGGGCTGCCGGTGGGCTGGAGGTGGCTTCAGTAGGAGCCCTAATAAGGACCTTCCTCGCTCTGCTTATTCTCAACATCATCCATGTAACCAAACAACAGGGAGTTAACCTGAGCCAGTATCTCCCCAAAGCTTGAGAGGGTCTCATGAGCCCATCTACCGAGTCTCTACTAGGTACTGGTTACTGGCCCAGCAAGCAGGCTTTACTTTAAAAAACTTGTTTTTTGTTGTTCTGATCCTGGGACTTGGACACAGGCCGTGGGCACTATCCCTGAGCTTTTTTTTTTGCTTAAGACTAGTGCTCTGCCACTTGAGTCACAGCTCTACTTCTGGCTGTTTGCTGGTTCGTTGGAGATGAGACTTCCAGGACTTTCCTGCTCAGGCTGGCTTCAAACCATGATCCTTAGATCTTAGCTTCTGAGTAACTTGGATTACAGGTATGCGCCACCAGCGCCCAGCCTTTTTTTTTTTCCTCTCTCTTTCTCTCTCTGTGTGCCCACAACAGTGGGTGTGATTGCCCATCTTGGTGGGGTTTTTGTTGTTGTTGTTGTTGGTTCAGAGGCTCCCCCTAGAGGTCAAATGGACAAATGTGCCAGAGGCCTGGAACTCACACCCTCTCTGTGGGTGGAGGAAGAAGGGGGCTTGCGGCTGGAGTGGATGGTAGTTCCCTGACTTTCCTCTACAGGGTACTGCCGACTTTTAGGGGTCTCCATCTGTTATGTGTCTTAAAAAACCAGTGTACATAGTTCTCATGTATGTGTGGAGCGACTGGGAGTGAGTGTAGTGTAACTTATCAGAATTTGGTGGCCTTTCTCATGCAGTTTTTTCCCTTGGTTTTGTTTCCTATTTGGGGGGAAATAGCTCACTTGTCCCCCTGCAGCCTGGCTGCAGGACTTCTATCATCTCTTTTTAGCCAAACAGTTCCTTTTAACAGGTACTGGAGGGACAGCCCCCTACCCACCTACCAACCCTTGTTCTAAAGGTTACAGGGTTCATACATAACCATTTTATTTGTTATTGTTGTTGTTTTGTTTTGATTTTAACCAAAGGTTATCAGAGCCAGTCGGGCTTAGACCTCAGCTGCTGAAAAGATTTTCCGTTTTTTGCAAGGGCAGGAAGATGGCTGCCTCTGTGGGGTCTCCTCTGCCTAGTGCTGGTCGGGGTGGCATCTGCTGGTGGAGTTTAGGGGTCACACAGTCAAGTAGGAGCCAGCCCCGGATGGTCGCTCAAGGTGGTGGGAGGGTGACAGACATATCTTTATCCTACCAGTATGACGGTTACTATGGCCATTGGTGGCCTGGGATATCATTTTTTTCTTTCCCAATTCTGTACCTAGATTGTTGGTCTGTAAGGTGCTCTGGATCTGCCCAGGTGCCAGAGAGGCACTGGCCTGAGAGCACCTTTCTGCTGGCTGTCAATGTCTGCTTCTTTCTATGGAGCAAGGCTTTGGGGCAGGAAGACCAGGGAGGAAGAGCCAGCGTGTGGTGGGCCTGCCTCCGGGGCTGGTTCCTGGGTTTCGGCCTGGCTGCCTTCCACTCCTCCAAGTGTGTTTAAGTCTGTTGCCAGTGGGCCCTGTTTGTGCCCTTACCATGAGCCCACAGCTTGCCAGGACCCCACCGCTTGCTGGGGCAGCACCCGGCCCAGTTGGGATAAACTGGTCCGTCCTTTGTAAAGCTGTAAATACTTAGGTTGTTTTTTTTGTTGTTCGTTTTCTATTTCTAATAGAGTCCAGTGTCATATTGACACTGGTATTTTGAGATTGTTCTCAATGGGCTCTTCCATGCTGCTCCCTTTTACTCTCCTAGTTTGGGGAGGGGGAGTTAGACACACAGGGGACTGGGGAGTGGCAGGGGATATAGTATCCTTTTGGCTTCCTGGTTGGTTGTGAAATACACACACACATACACACACCCACTGAGACTCTTTTTGAGACTCATTTTGCTTTCTCATGGCAGTGTGTCGAGGGCCCTGGAGCATCTGTCCAGCCTGGACTCAGCTCTGGGGTTTGAGCTCAGTTGACCTGTGGAGAGTCCAACCACTTTGCTTTGGGGTGGGAGGAGAGGGGATAGGGTTGGGGATAATATAAGGTGTAACTTAAGCTAAACATAATCTATTTATAAAGCAAGAGACTCTCTTCTATTTTTATGAAAGGAAAGGGTTTTTAATCTAGGGTAGGCAGTCGTGGTAGTCCAGCACTCTTTTCTGTGGACGAAATATCATGCATGTTGCCGCTGGATCAAATATAATCAGTACCCCTCACCCTGTCTTGCTGTCCACCCTCCCTCTGCTCATCTATACCCACGAGGGGCTTCAGCAGGGTTTACTTCTTTCCTGACCCCTTTGTTCCTTGGATGTCTTGGAAGGGGGCATTGCCGGGGGGTAGGTGGGCTGCAGGTTTTTCAGAATTGAGGTGGGAGCAGAAAAAAGGGGTAAGAATCACTACAATTCAGCTGTGCTGGGAGGGCGTTAAGCAGCAGGGTGTAGTTGACAAGGGTTGGTTCAGGGAGCACACACAGGGCTGCCTTTGGGCCTGGGTTTTAATGTGTCTCAGGCTGTCAGAAAGATGCCCAGAGACCAGCCCTGAAAGTACCAACTCCAACAACTGGGCTGCAGTCCTTCTGTTCCAGAGGACCTTCAAAGGACCATGGTACTAGAGGTTCCCCAGACTTGGGTCTTTCCTCTTGGACCCTGAGCTTGGCTCTGAGGTGGGGAAAGTCAAGTTTTCTCTGGGAGGGACTTTTCCATAGTGAGAGAGCTGCAGGCTCAGGTGGGCTGTGTTAAACTTGGGTAGGTCCCTCACCATTCCCCCATCTTTCCAAAGCTCTCAAGGAAATGAGGCAAAGCCCCCTACCAAGACCTCTCTGTGGGCATTTTAGCATCTCTCTGGTTTTTGTGCCTGCTCTATCCCACTGTTGTCTGTCTGCCACTTGGGTCTAACATCATGGGGAGGGGTTTCTATTCACTGAAAGACTACTGATCCTACCTGTTTACTGTACTGTTGTAAATATTGCGGCCTTTATATCCTGTATATTGGCTTCTTTTAAATAAAGTAAAATGTCTTAGAATTCATGGTGTATTTTTTTTAATTACAGTGATGGAGAGTAAGGCAAGAGACTTAAGAGAACCACACCAAAGCTAGAACTTATTTTTATATTTTATTGTTAGTATTGGGCCTTGAACTCAGGGCCTGAGCTTTTTCACTCAAGGCTAGCACCTCTACCGCTTGAGCCACCTCCACTTTTTGCTTTTCAGTGTTTAATTGTAGATAAGAGCATCATGGACTTTTCTTCCTGGACTGGCTTTGAATCTTGATCCTCAGATCTCATACACCTGAGTAGCTAGGATTATAGGCAGTGCCTCCAGCATCTGGCCAAACTTTCTAACCAATGAATGATAAACGGGAAAATTTCCCATTACCTGTCCATTTGCATCTCCTCACAAGAAAACCTTTGGATAACAGAGATCACAGGCTAACTGGCACAAGTGGATTTGGAACTGAGGTCTTGTTAACCACAAAACCCCCATTTCTCAAGCTTCCCTACTGTGCCCACAGGGGCTGCACTTCCTGGGGCTCTGGATTTGAATATCTAGTGTTCTAGATACTTCATGTTAATGTCCACATTCAGGGTGATGTCACTCCAACGTGAACTGAGATCACCTGGTTTGACTCATACCAATGCCAGTTGATTTAGTACTTATGTAGTTTCTTTCCTAAGTCTCATTCTCTGCTTAAACATTCTTAAGTGTGTTAAGTGATATAATCTGGAGGAAAAAGAGTAGCCTTTGCTGAGCAATGGTGGCCCTCTCCTGTAATCCCAGCTATGCTGGAGATTGGGATCCAAGGATTCAAAACAAGCCCAGGCAGATGAGGCTGTGAAGCTCTTATCTCCAATTAACAACTACAACAACAAAATCCAGAAGTGGAACTGTGGCTCGAGTAGTAGTGTGCCAGCTTTTAGCACAAAAGCTCGGGTCCCAAGTTCAAGGCCTAGGACCTGCGCGCGCGCGCGCACACACACACACACACACACACACACACACACACAGGTCTTAGATGATGACATTTTGAGCTTCTTCGGCAGCAGATTGGTGGGTTCTGGGCGGGGCCTCTACTCCCATTTTACAGAAGAGGAAACAGATCCAAAGAGCCTATGTAATTGGCTCAGTGTTCTAGCCAGAATTAGCATATGGAGGGACTCCAAGACAGGTTCATTTTCACCCTTGCTGGAGGAAACAGAAGCACATGATTAGAACCGAGGGAGAGAAATCCTAATGGTATTTTAGGATTAGAGGGGGTGCCTAAGACGTCCTTATCAGATAAGACCAGAATCCAGGTTACAAGTGTGTTCGATTGTACATCAAACAACTCGTGCAGAACACAAACTTTAACCTGGGTGAGCGGAGCAATCGGCTTTGCAGCCAGAGACAAACAAGCTCGGACGAGCTATGGTTTGGTCTTGTATTAACCAGATCATGGAAGGTCGCAGCCCCTGGACCGGGGGCTGGGCCCGCGCCAGGCTGGGCGGTGGAGGCCTGCAGCGCTCCGGCCCGAAAGC